ATGTGCTTCGCGCCACAACGGCGTGCACTTTTTCGACATCTCAACTTCCAAAAGTGGTGGCGCGACCCTGTGGTGTTTTGTACATTTTGACTTGGAAATGTGCTTCGCGCCACAACGACGTGCACTTTTTCAACATCTCGACTTCCAAAAGTGGTCCGAACCCCTAGTGCTTTGGACATTTTGACTTCGAAATGTGCTTCGTGCCACAACGGCGTGCAATTTTTCATCGCTCCTGTGGCCAGCTGGCTCCGCACCCGCCGCTTTAGCGAGCCTACTTTTCGACCCTCCGGAGCCACAAATCATTGGAAAAACACAGTGTTTCGCGACTTTCCGCGCATCTGTATCTTCTGTCTTCTTACTCTTTCTCTTCTGATCTTCTCTCTTCTAATCTTCCTCTTCTCTCTGCCTCTGCCCTGCTCTGCTTTTCATCTCTCCATGTTGTCGGAAGTTTGACTTCTAAACTTCCTTCGATAATATACAGAGTAGTAGTGGCAGATTCCTTTGCGATCTTTTTGGCGGTTACTATATGTTATTAGACTTGTAATTAGTACCAGTAGTACCGCACAAGGCGGTGGCGGAAGTTTCAGAATAGGAAACCTATAGGAGACGTTGGTTGTTGTGAATCACGGATGGCAGAGCGAATCCACTGATTGACCGAAAGGTGGTTGGAGTTGTGTTTGCTGGAGTGGTTGCAATGGTTGCAGTGGTCACCTCACCCACAACTGCTGGATGTAGTGTGATGTACTGCAACTGTAGTTGTAGTTGTAGCGTAGTGGAGTTGTAGTTGTGGTTTAATGTAATTAGTGTAGTGTAGTTGCAGTCATATAGTTGTAGCTGTAGTTGTTTTGTAGTTGTAGTTGTTGTGTAGTTGTAGTTGTAGTTGTTGTAGTTGTAGTTGTAGCTGTAGTTGTTGTGTAGTTGTAGTTGTTGTGTAGTGTAGTGTAGTGTAGTTGTAGTTGTAGTTGCAGTTGCAGTTGTAGTTGAAGTTGCAGTTGCAGTTGCAGTTGCAGTTGTAGCTGTAGCTGTAGTAGTAGTAGTAGTAGTAGAAGTAGTAGTAGTAGTAGTAGTAGTAGTTGTAGTAGTAGTTGTAGTAGTAGTAATAGTTGTTGTTGTTGTTGTAGTTGTTGTTGTTGCTGTTGTTGTAGTTGTTGTAGTTGTAGTAGTAGTAGTAGTAGTGGTAGTTGTTGTTGTTGTTGTTGTCGTTGTTGTTGTTGTTGTAGCTGTAGTTGTTGTAGTTGTTGTAGTTGTTGTAGTTGTTGTAGTTGTAGTTCTAGTTCTAGTTGTAGTTGTAGTTGTTGTGTAGTTGTTGTAGTTGTAGTTGTAGTTGTAGTTGTAGTTGTAGTTGTAGTAGTAGTTGTAGTAGTAGTTGTAGTAGTAGTAGTAGTTGTTGTTGTTGCTGTTGTTGTTGTTGTTGTTGTAGTTGTAGTTGTTGTAGTTGTAGTTGTAGCTGTGGTTGTTGTAGTTGTAGTCCTAGTTGTAGTTGTTGTGTAGTTGTTGTGTAGTTGTAGTTGTAGTTGTTGTGGTTGGTGTTGTTGTTGTTGCTGTTGCTGTTGTCGCCGAAGTTAGGGTAGTTAAGTTAGTGAAGTTAGTTAAGTTAGTCAAGTTAGTTAAGTTAATCAGTGTCTACTTTTTGGACATCTTAACGTCAAAAAAGGCTCAAACCCCCTCAGTTTTTTTTTGGTGTCGGCGCTGTTAAGGGGCCGTGGGCTGTCTTCATTTTTTATATGTTCTATGTTGGGATGTCAACGTTCTTTGCGACTGCTAGGTTTCTCTGGCACTTCCACACATACGTCATGCTACGCTACTGCTAGGTTTCTCTGGCACTTCCACACATACGTCATGCTACGCTACTGCTAGGTTTCTCTGGCACTTCCACACATACGTCATGCTACGCTACTGCTAGGTTTCTCTGGCACTTCCACACATACGTCATGCTACGCTACTGCTAGGTTTCTCTGGCACTTCCACACATACGTCATGCTACGCTACTGCTAGGTTTCTCTGGCACTTCCACACATACGTCATGCTACGCTACTGCTAGGTTTCTCTGGCACTTCCACACATACGTCATGCTACGCTACTGCTAGATTTCTGTGGCACTTCCACACATACGTCATGCTACGCTACTGCTAGGTTTCTCTTGCACTTCCACACATACGTCATGCTACGCTACTGCTAGGTTTCTCTGGCACTTCCACACATACGTCATGCTACGCTACTGCTAGGTTTCTCTAGCAGCACTTGTCGTTCTTTTGATCTTTTTTGTCTTGAAAACTGGTGGATGGTGAATGTCGGCAATTATAATAATAATATGATGCTCATTTTTGCATGCATCATTTGCACCGTTCATTCTTTGAAAACTCCGCTGCTTATGGGCTTCAGTTTTGGAGGGAATGTGGCCTCTTCCCGCTCCTGGTCAAGTTTTTTCTGTTGGGGTTGGTTTGTCTTTTGTTTTGTTGTGTCGTTTGTCTCGTGTTCCGTGTCCCTTGTTTTGTTTGGAGCTAACTTCCTTGTGGCAACTTCCTTTGTCTTTTCTTGATTCTCATCAAGATTCTTTTTGTTCCGTGTTTACTGGATCCGATATTTGTTGGTCTTCTCAAGTTGTGTGTGGGGATCCTTCTGGTGTCTTTCCTTGGCTACGTGTCTTGCCTCACGTGCGTGCCTTGTCTCGTTTTTGGTTTAACGTTAGTCGGTCTCTACGTCCTTCGCCAGTGGTCACCGGTGCTCTCCTGATTTTCGCTCGTCGCTTTTCTCGCTTTCGTTCTTCCTCGGTCCTTCCGTCTTCCGTGTACGCAGCCATGGACGCAGTGGCAAATCTTCCGCCAGATGTGTTTCTGGGCCTCATTGGTTTTGCATTCGCATGCGTTAACGTGTACTTGCTGTGTTTGATGGTGTCTGTTTTTTGGTTGCCTTTTGAGGTTTCGCTCCGGTGACACTACTCCACGCTCAAAGTCTCGCTCCAGATCTCCACTGCGGTTTCTTGTACGCATCTTCGGGGGTAGTGTTCTTTGGCTTCCTTTTTTTTCGCGCGAATCTTTCCTAGGCCCGCTCCTGTGCAACAGAGTGTGCGGCCAGCGTCTTCTGCTCGAAGCTCTGCTGCTGGTGAAGATGATTTGGTTTCTCCTTTGCATATGGGTCAGTGTTTTTTTTTAAAAACCATTTGTTGCTGCGCAGCAGAATCAGGGATTTCTCTATATCTTCACTTTCCTCAGGTATTCCTCGACTATCTGGACGAAGGTATGCCTAGTCCTATGCGTGTGGAAGACAGTCCGCATACAAGGAAACGCAAGAGTGCCTGGGTAGTTCCAAAACACATGGTTCGAAACCCGAGATAAAAAGATAATGCATATAATTTCATTCTTCTTCCAGAGACCTTGCCTCAGCAGAGACAGCAGTACTGTCACAGCCATATCGAGTTACAAAAAAAAAATCTACATATAACATATATATATATATATTAATTTAAAAAACATGTATGTATATTAGATATATATATATATATATATAGATATACACAAATTCTGGATTGGTTGCAGAGTGGTTAATGCAGATGTTTTTATGGAATCTTCATGTTGATGGGTTAGTTTTGGTGTGTGTAAGCAATAATAATACAGGTGTTTTGGGTTTTTTGAGGGTTTCCATTACTTATTCTTTGTCAATGATGTGATTTTGACGGTCAGATTCTTGTATTGCGGAGATATTGGTTGTAGCAATCATGCAGCTTCATGATTCATGGTTGGGGTGAAATTCGTTCTTGGGAGAATGTTGGAAAAATAATATTCAAAACCATGAATGTGGGGATTCCTGGATAAGTTTTGATCGATCGTGTAAATAATAAAACCTGGATCATGGTCTCATGATGGTATGATGTTTAAACCAATAATGAGATGGTAACATGAAGAAATCGTCTTTAGATTCTTGTCCCCAATGGGTCATGTCACGTGTAAGGTTGGCATCTGATTCAGATGAATACCTTGGATGCCATCACGAATTCCGCCGTGGTGCTAGATGCGTTTCTCGGCCAGCACTTCTCTGGTGTGGGATGTCTTTAATTCTGTGTAGCCACCGTGCAGGAAAACTGTCTTGTTTATTTGGTTCATGGGCTTGATGTGAGGTCCGTGGACGATGTTTTGTCAGTGCCATCTTCTGCGGATGATTCGCCTGCAGAAGGCCATGCGGTCGATGCGTTGGAGCCACCTGAAGGTGTTCCTGTTCAAGGTCCGCAGACCTTGGGGCAATGGTTGGCTGAAGAGCAAGAAGCTTCTTTGCCTGGTGTGATGATTTGATGTCTCCTTGCCTTGCGTCTCCTGAAAGCCTTGCCGATGTTGTGCCAGAGAAAAAGTTCAAGTGGGGTGCCTGCAAGAAGTGTGGCAAAGCAATGAGTCCTACGGTGCATGCGACTGGTGCTCTCAGGGGAGAGTTTTTGCTGCGTTGCAACGACTGGTGGCGGTTCACAGATGACAAAAAACGCAAGTGCTGGTACTTAGAGAAATACCAGGGAGAAATCAGTGACTTGCCTTACTTCGTCCGGCAAAAGAGAAAGTCCATGAAAGAAGACTTGACGTGGCATTTCTCTCACCAAAGCCGGTGATCCATTGCAGCTAGAGTATGATGTCGTGAGGGCGAAAAGAATTGCTAGACGCAGACCGAGAGTTGGACATCTTTGTGGGTGATATCTTAGTCAGGTGTTTGCTCAGGTCGTCTGGCAGGTGGCGCCGTCATTTTCGATGCAGACATCTTCAGCCGTAGCTCTGTTTACTTGTGAGGAAGTATCTCTTTCAAGTCGATGATCTTTTCCCAAAACCTGCAAGTATCAGTTCGATGAGTGAAGAAACCACACATGTCAAGGTCGTTTGCGAGGTCGTCTGGCAGGCGGGGCCACTCTTTTCCCATAATTAAGATGCATGATGCATGATCCACCGAAATCTTTGTAGGTTCTAGATCCACGGCTTCGTTCCAGCAATGGCTGGATCATTTTGTGCTTGTGGTTTTTGCTCCGCATGACATGTGCACTCTGCGGCGCCAAAGCTCATAATGTGAGAACTTGCCCCTTGCCTGGAAGAGATAGGTACCTGAAAGCGCAAGAACATGCTAGAAAGATTCACTCCTGGTCGAAGCAGCCACAGAAAGGCAGAAAGCCGCCCCGTCTTGGTGGTGTGAACAAAAAATTTAAAAAGCAGCGTGCATTGCAATACAGTGGGGCCAAGAAAGTTGAGTTGCAGAAAAAAAATAGAAATCAAAATCGCAAGAAGACGGCTAGTCTTCCGCAGACTCTGGAGTCTCAACGTGCAGCTGTTGACACCTTGCAACGCTTGGGCTTTCTGCAAGAGCTACCTCGCATTTGCACCACCTGTCGCCGAGGCACCTTTGGAGAAAGTCAAATCACTTCCACTCAGCAAATCTTTTGGCGATGCATAGATTCAGACTGTCGCAAGCGAGTCAACGTCCTAGATCTTGCCTCTTGGCTTCCGGACGGAGTTCGGCGCCGAGGATACAGTCCGTTTCAACTTCTGCATTTGCTCCGTGAGTATGCTGCTTTGCGTGGTGCTCGCCCAGCATCGCTCCAGGCCGAGAGTTGGATTTTTTGTTTTTTCTAAATATGAAACTCGCAACTGTGCGGCTTTGAGAATAACATACCCTGTTTTCAGGCCACTGCAATCTCCGTGGGGATCCATGTGACTCTGGTGGGACGTCTTTTTGCTTGCCTACGTGGTCTGGAAGCAGCTGCCGGTGAAAAGTTGAGCCGTTCTCTGCAAGTCAAAAATGCTGTTGAAGTGGATGCCACTTCTGTGCGCACGGTGCGCATTGGAAAAAATAGCCAGACCTACAAAGATCAGATCGCACTTTGGAAGCGAAAGCATCCCCACGCAGCAGATCCACCTCATTATCTGGTACACTTTCGTGTTCTGGGTGCTTGTGAACGTGGTTCTGGTCGCATGGTCATTGCCCCAGCCTCCTTGAAAGTGTTGCCTGCGACAGCAAAACCACCTCAGGAGAGCATTGCTGAAATTGTCTCTTCTCAGATTCTGACAAGAATCCAAAGTGGTAGTGTGTGCTACGCTGATGGCTGTCGTGCTTGGCAAGGGGCTGCAAAGCAGCAAGTGCCTGGCAAACGATTAAAGTTTGAACAAGTCAAACACAATCGTGGTGAGTTTGTGAAACGTTTGGGTCGCAAACCACGTCCCTGCGCTTCTTCTTTGGCTGGCACACAGAGTTTGGATCGGCGCTGGGACTGGTTGAAGAAGCCACTCCCTCGTCAGCTCCACACTCATAAAGATGCCCGCAAAGACTTCCAAAGTCTGTGGCAGTACCTGTGGTCTGCGGTCTGGAGAAAGCAGGCCGGCCCACAGGTGCATGAGAAGCTGGGACAGCTCGCAAGGAATGTATAAAAGTTGGCAAAGCTGTATCTGTGAATCCCTTAAAAGGTCAATATTCATGACACACAAAGTTTCGGAAACAATGGTTGTCATTAAAAAATGCCATTTTATGAGGTAAAACCATCAAAAATCAATATTTTCGGTGAACACTACGTGGTTTTAAGCTCATTGAAAACACCATGATATGATGAAAATGTTGAAAAACCCTCACGAAATTGAAATTGAACAATTCTGATGGAATGTCGATCTTACACCACTGCACGGCCTCTTATCAACGCCGTTACCAAGTTAATCAGTGTCTACTTTTTGGACATCTTAACGTCAAAAAAGGCTCAAACCCCCTCCGTTTTTTACACTTTTGACTTCGAAATGTGCTTCGCGCCACAACGGCGTGCACTTTTTCGACACTTTTTCCACATCGGAACCTCCAAAAGTGGTCCGAGACCGTCAGTTTTTTACACTTTTGACTTGGAAATGTGCTTCGCGCCACAACGGCGTGCACTTTTTCGACATCGCAACTTCCAAAAGTCGTCCGACACTGAGGTGTTTTCTACATTTTCACTTCGAAATGTGCTTCGCGCCACAACGGCGTGCACTTTTTTGACATCTCAACTTCCAAAAGTGGTCCGACGCTGAGGTGTTTTGTACATTTTGACTTGGAAATGTGCTTCGCGCCACAACGGCGTGCACTTTTTTGACATCTCAACTTCCAAAAGTGGTCCGAACCTGGTGTTTTGTACATTTTGACTTGGAAATGTGCTTCGCGCCACAACGGCGTGCAATTTTTCATCTCTCATCTGGCCAGCTAGCTCCGCACCCGCCGCTTTAGCGAGCCTACTTTTCGACCCTCCGGAGCCACAAATCATTGGAAAAACACAGTGTTTCGCGACTTTCCTACCTTTTCGCGCATCTGTATCTTCTGTCCTCTTACTCTTTCTCTTCTGATCTTCTCTCTTCTAATCTTCCTCTTCTCTGTGCCTCTGCCCTGCTCTGCTTTTCATCTCTCCATGTTGTCGGAAGTTTGACTTCTAAACTTCCTTCGATCATATAGTATCACTAAAATGGATGTGATACGATTTGACCAACCGGTTTAATATGTGGTAGTCACACAATGCCATATTCACCATCCCATGAAGCAGCCAAAAAAATCAGGGCCATCATCCCGTAGCCAGGCTATAACCGATGTCATTTTTACCTGGCGCCAGGGGATGGTTTATGGCAGGTGACTACCACAGAAGAACAAGCAGTGGATTGGCTTTGGACCCTTTTTAGACTTGGAATTTTTATGGATTTTTCAGAAACCAACATTTTTTCTATACATTTGGGAAGTTGATCGGGAAGTGAACCAACCGTTTATAGATTACTGTAGTACAGCAATAATAAACATGCCATATTTTGATGGTTTCTACCACAAAAAAATGGTCAACCTAGGGATGGTTTGACGACTGTTCCCCCAGTGATGTTTGTTGGGAGAAAACCCCATGAATACTCGAGAGCTGCAAGTATCATGGACCACAGTTATTGGAGTTTTTTTGCACCGAAAAACTATCGTTTGGGGCCCCACTTTATAGTACTTTTACTGGATATTTGGACATACTTGGACTGCGCGGCTGCGCATCTGCTAGCGCCCGTCTTTTCAGTCCTCTGGTCTCAGGTAATCGATGGAAAAGTAACCCGAGTCCAGTCGTCGCGCATACTCTTCGAACCACCTGTGTTTTCGGGGCCATTCTTTCACCCTGTATTGATGCCCCCAGTGATGTTTGTTGGATTATAACCCCATGAATACTACAGTTATGAGTCTCATAAACCATCATAGTGGCCATCGTGAAATTGCACTTATAAATGTAAACCAAGTTTGTGATTCCCCAGTTCGGTAGCCGAGTTGCCTTCTGGCTATGACAAGTAGGATTTGTCTCAAATATATCTATTATAAGATGGGGGTTATGAAAAAATATATAGTTGGGCGGCGCCACCTTGTAGGTCCTTGTAGGTTATTCCCACCATTTATGTCAGTGAATAACCTACAGTAATTTGTTTTTGGCTCGAAAACTGCTCACATCACCTTCATTGCTGATGGGGCTAGGATGGGGCTAGGATGGCATTTGGATATCCACATCTACCCTCTCCAGTCGATGCAGAGATGGGTCTATTCACTTAGGGCCAAGGGACCTCAGAGTCTATTCATTTTTTCGGGGATGTTCCCTCCAATTTAAGGAATGATATGGGGGTTTCCAGAAATGGGGATACCCCAAGCTCGCTGGATGGTTTTTTTCATGGAAAATCCCATGAAAGAATGGATGATTTAGGGGCACCCCCATTTCAGGAAATGCCCATATCTAATTTTCACCCATACCCACACAGGAAAACACATGGTTTTCCAAAAAAATGGTCGATTTTCCATGACTGTCTCACTGTTGTCTACCCCAATTCCAAGAGACTATCGTAATTTTATCCCTTAAATTTGTCAATTTCAGATCAAGGAAAAAAGACACGTAAACACTAAAAAATGCATGCCTTCACCATTCATATGACTTTCCCGAGTAAAACCCCCACTCTTGTCATATTTCATATTAAGTCCCAACAAAAAAAGTCCAATATCATTTCCCAGTATTTTTCCAAAACATGTTGGTTAATAACCCTACCAATAAAATGGAATCTCCATGAAGTTCCAAAGCATGTGCTATTTCTTTACCACACAACGCAATTGACTATTCTTGATATAAAAAAAAAACACGACTCGATTTAATCTGGCTGAATACTAGCCTGAAATTCGCTAAAATAAGGCCCTTTTTTAGTGATGATTCCCCTTATATAATCCCCTTCATTCCAGTGACGTCACATTTGGTGAAGCCCTCCCCATAGATATTAGTTCTTTATATCCCCCGAACAAAAAAACAAGTTATGATGTTATGTGTGTCAACATCTTAAGTGATTTGTTAAATCAGTGATAAATTCCATGAACAATTGAACAATCCATAAAAATCTATCATTGTTCTTGGTTCAGTTACCATTTTCCTATGGTTTTCCCAAGGCTTCGTAGTGGCTATAGCATCATCACGGCCTGAGGAAGCCATCCTTTCCGTCACCGCTTGGCACAGCGAGTTCCAGGATGGACCGGTTTTTGCCTTGGCTTTTCACGATCGGAACATCGGAAAAGCAATGGAGTTTCCGGATGGTTTTTGATAGTTAGTTGATATCCCATGATATTCTATTATAAACCCATTATATATACATATATATATATATATAGTTGATTAAACACCATTGATTTGATGACTTGGAACATCAACGAACTAATGTTTTGTTTTGTTTTGTTTCTTTAAACCTTGGTCATGTGGGTAAAACAATGCCATAAACCATCCCCCAAACCACTATAAATAGACTAAATAAACCAATGGATTGAACGAATTGATATCCCATGATCTCCATTATAGTCCTCCAGTGGAACTTAGAATGACGTTCAGGTCTCCAAGCATTAATCATCATACACTTAGAATGTCGTTGATATCTGATATCCCATCATAAACCCATTTATAGTTGGTTAAACACCATTGATTTGATAGTGAAATCATTAGATGCTTTTCCATTTGTTCTTCACATCTTTCCAATGGGTGGCAACGCTATTTAGACATATGAGCAATGTTCAAAGCCCGCAATGTCGTCCCTTTATACTGCCTGGTTAAGAACATATTTTCCACAATGGGTTATGATAATCCCCAGTGTATTGGGTAGTGCACGAGGTCTAGGGACGCAACCCACAACGGTCGCACAAGTGGTGCTGCAGTGCACCTATTTTCCTATGGGCAATCGCTCGAGCCCCTCCCTGCGATGGGGCGGTCAGTGCAAAAGGTTCACATGCAGTAACGTGTTATGTCATGCACAGCTGTCATTGCATCACCCCAAATTCCTGAACCTTTTGTTAGTTCAGCGGGTGATATCGAATTGGACTTTCATTGGTCCATGGAAAGTTCTTCTTCTCCGCAAGCTCTTTCACGTAGGCCACAAAGTTGGCTTGCATGTCTTTCAGCCTTTTCTCCAGCTCCTTCTTGTGCACGCGTCTTCCTGATTCGAACTTCTCATCGTGCACCAGTCTCCAGTGTTGCTTTTGTCCAAAGAGGTGCAACAGGATCTTGCGGTTGGAGGCCTTCGTCATTGCGTCAGCCAGTTGTGCTAACCCATTGACCCAACGGAATTGGACACCTGATTGGATGCCCTGGTTCACCGCTAGAGTCAGCTCGTATCCAGCTCTGGCTTCACGAAGTCCATGAAGAGGGCTGAGGTTGCGAGTGATCGCATCATAGATGCCCCGTGTGTCCATGACCACGGCGCCATCGATCACTTTGACAATCTCATGCAAGTTATCCCTCCGAACTTCTTCTCCAGCTAGTTCAGCAAGTAGAAGTCGTAGGTTCCAGCAAATGTCCTCGCCAATTGTCACAGCTTGGACTTCAGCTCCGTTCGAGCCTAAACACTGTCTGGGTGTTTTCCCAGATTTCCACTGAACAATGGCAAGTTGGTGCTCCTCGCCATCGATCATCTCACGGGGTCCGATGCCGGCCAGGATGCCAATGGTTGAAGACTTGTCGGGCCTGTTGTGCTGTGAAGCATCGGCCCATACGATCACTGCCAGCTCCTTGATCTCTTTCCCCCAGCTAGGGAATAGCAGTCCCTGCGATGCATTAGCTCGCATCTCCCTGATCAGCTTGTTCACCTTGTAGAGCGTCTCCACGGTGCCTTTGGAAACTTCTGAAAGAAGTAGGCTGGTGTCAGCCAGGTACTGGGGCGCTGTCTGCGTCGCCCTCCAGCTGATTGTTCCAAGGGCTCCTCTCAAAGCTGATACTTCGGCAGGAAGTAGTAGAGCTCGTCGAGATCGGGTGGCGTCGATCTTGATCTCTTCAATCCATTTGTTGGTGTAGTCCTCCTGGTCCAAGGTGATGCTGAAATCTTCAGCTTGTCGGATGCGGCATCCAGCAAAAGTGAACTCCTCCGTCTCCCATTTGCCCCACCTGAAT